CCCCAAACAACCAAAAACAACAAGGAGTGGGCAAAAATAAGACAGGCCAAGGCCAGCGAGATTCGAGCGGTTGCTAATCATGAGGTACCGGCGCCTGTAACGTAATGGTTTGACCCGAAGACCCTGCACGCAAAAGACCAGTTTCCGCTTCCAGTGTAGGGGGAAGTCTGTCTATTTTATCGAGCAGTTCCGTCTTTTTGGCTAAGACGCTGCACCTCACCCGGCCCAGGGCTGACACTGACAGACAGGGACAACTCCGCCCAGCTCGTAAACGGTCTTTTTTAAGACGATAGGGGCGTAAAAGAATTCGTACATAGGTCTGTGGTATAGCGGTCACGCCCTTCACTGTCTCTTGGGAAAACTTTTGATAGAGTATCTCAATTATTCCACTGGTATTTTGTATTCCTCGTATCCCGTGTTTGCTTTGACCACACACAAACACACGCCCTTTTTTCTTTAACGAAGCTTGCGTCAATGTTATGATGTCACTGCGCTTAAACATATTTTGTGTGTGTGTGTGTGTGTGTGTGTGTGTGTGTGTGTGTGTGTGTGTGTATGTGTGTGTGTACACTTGAATGAAGTTGTGGGCGGGTTATATCAATCTCTGATGTCTTGTGTACGGCGTTAACATGCTTTGTGTGTGTGGATAAATCATTGATATCCAACTTAAAAAGATAAGTAAACACCTTCTTTGAAGTCCTATTCCTTCCTCCCCATGGAGAGTAGGGATAGCTATAACATTGTATGTCAAATTTACGAACACACACACACACCCACGCAATGCTCAGAAATATGAATATTCATTAATTTTCCAGTTTAGATACCCTACTTCTGTCATTAAAAAAAAACCCTACTCGATTGCAAAAGGAGAGGGGCGGATTGGGGGGGGGGGGGGAGTTATCCCTTTGCAGCCACACTGCCAGCAGTACAAAATACCCCCATCTGTTCACCCGGCCAGGAGAGCGACCACAACGGACTTCTCAGGCCAGGCACAAAACTGCGCCAGGTGATCAAAGTAGATAATTTTCATTGGCGCATTTTTGCGTCAAGTGACCACAAAGTGTTTGAGGATCAAACGTTCCGCACGTCGTGTGGTACTGTCGTATCCATACAACATGGGGAACTCTGTGCCACCACTTTGCAAAGAGGAAATTTACTTTGTTCATCCAATCGGTACGCTTTGCATAGCAGTCTGTCAAAATGGTTTTTGAGAAATACTAAAAGTTCCAAAGAGATCTTCTCACTAGAAGTATTCTAAAATGTGAAGAAGACTAAAAGTTTCAAAGAGATCTTCTCACTAGAAGTATTCTAAAATGTGAAAAAGACTAAAAGTCTCAAAGAGATCTTCTCACTAGAAGTATTCTAAAACGTGAAGAATACAAAATGACCCCAGGGAGTATGGAGATCAAACTTTCCGCAGGCAGGGCTGTGGCGTTATTGGGGGTCGAGGGGAGGGGGGGGGGTGGCGAATTGCATTGCGTCCGACCAATCACCTTGTAGTATCCCGTCTTGGTGAAGAGCTGCCTGTTCCCGTCGTTGAGGTGCGCGGCGATAGTGTCCCCTGAGCACGAGCTGTTGTACGAGTTTTTCTGAAAGTTGCAGGGGAGCCAAATAATATTTAAAAATAGTTTCAAAAACCCCCCCACGAAAAACAAACAAACACACAAACAAGCAAATAAACAAAACAAACCAACAAACAACCCAGAAAATGACAATAAGATGAAACATTAGGGACGCCACCAACATGATTAAAAGACCCCCTCCCCCCTAAACAGAAAAATGGACAAAAAATAAAACACCCCCCTCCCCAAAAACAACCACAGAACAAAACAA